GCTTGATCTCAGTTCATTGCAAATTTTTCTATTGACGACGAAAGGAATTCACCGCGGGCGAGAACTCAGAGCGGGCATTTGGTTTAAACCGAGAATTCGGTTCGGTTTAGTCGATTTCTACAAACTTCGGTTCCCAGACATTGAGACCGGATCCGTTGCTCGCAGATCACAGGACCGACAAATTCGGTTTTGGTTTTATCGGCTTCAGTTTTCGGTTCAACCGAAGAAAGCAAAGAGACAAGGAGAAAAAAGAACCACGTGTCCCCGTCTGGTGCCGCACTGTCCCGCCGCTTCAGCCGCCACGGAGCCGCGCCACGCCACCTGTCCCACCGCCACGGAGCCGCGCTGCGGCGCTGCCCCACGGATTCCGCCGCTGAGGAGCGAGGAGATGCGCCTGACCGAAGTTGCGGCCGCCATTGGCCATCGAGGAACCACCCCGTCCCGTGCTCGCCAGTGACGCAGAGAAGCCGCGCCCCGCTGGCCACAGCATCTGCCCGCCGGACGCCCGTGACGCTGAGGAACCCTGCCGCTCTGCTGAGTTGCGTCGCGCCACCGCTTGGGGGATTTTGGGGATGAGTCGTCGGATAAGGGTCGGGCGAGCGGGGATATTTAACTTTTTATCATTACTAGTTAAGCGTGTCCGTACCTGGTTACGGGACAACTAAATTTTTTTTACTAAAAACATACGGATCGTACGATAAGATAACAATATTGTTAAATTAAATATCGACGTCAAAGTGACATTTAATTCAAGGCCTTGTTTAGATTGCAAATTTTTACAATCTGGACACTGTAGCACGTTTCGTTTGTATTTGACAAACTTTGTCCGATCATAGGCTAACTAGACTCAAAAGATTCGTCTCGTGATTTACAACCAAACTGTATAATTAGTTATTTTTTTTACCTACATTTAATGCTCCATACATGCGTCTAAAAATTAATGTGATGGAGAGAGAGTGAAAAAACTTAGGAATTTTGAGGCAATCTAAACAAGGCCTAAAAAGCAAAGTTCGTGAAATTAACACAGTCACGAAGAGCGCGACGTAGCAGACTCACAAACTCTACTGTATAGACTTTTTCGTGATACGGCTAAGATAATATTTTATATCGGCAGAAAGAATTATACGATATCCATTTCTTTCATGCGTCAATAAATTCATGAATAATTTCCACTACATCTTCATATAATCATGCATAGACAGGTTCGAGTATATATGTAAATAGATTCGTGTCCGTGCGTTACTACGGGACAGCTAAACTTTTGTACTAAAAATACACGGATCGTACGATAAGATAACAATACTGTAAAAGTGTATGACCGACGTTAAAGTGACATTTAATCCAAAAAGCTAAGTTCATGAAATTTACACAGTCACAGAGAGCATGACGTCGCAGGCTCACAAACTCTACTGTGTAGATCTTTCCGTAATGCGGCTAAGATCATTTTTTATACCGGCAGGAAGAGATTTCCGATATCCATTTCTTTCGTGCGTCAACAAATCCACGAATAAGTTCCACCACATCTCCATACCATCCTGTACACAACGCTGGCAAGCGAATTAGCCTCAACTTATGTAATTAGTTTTATAATTAACTCATGTTTAGTCTTCCTAATTGATATCTAAAAATTTAATGTGACAGGGGCTAAAGTTTAGTCCTGGGATCCAAACACCCCCTAACTCTCGATTCCTGCTGGCTGCTCACTTGCACCACCATACCTGTGTCTGCACGTATATACTCTAATGCCAGATCGTCTAAGATGGTCTTTAAGGTTGCCATTTGTGTATGCTGTAGGATTGAGATGCTTTGCACTGATCCATGAGAGTCGAAATTTTTGATGCCCTTATGATGTCTAACCTTACCAATCAAACAGAGACAAACTTGATTGTTAAAATATTTTTAACGCTGCTTTCATATACTCCCTCTGTCCCAAAATAGAATTCATTCTCGCTTTCCAAGAAGTCAACTTTTTTTAACTTTGACCAATTATAATACAGGTATTTTTTACATGCATGTGGCCTCAGGAGTCGACCAATTGATTGTTAAATGTTGCACGTATTTTTTACAAACCTAATCAAAGTTGAAAAAGTTTGACCTGCACGCATCCCATAACGACTTATATTTTGGGGTAGAGGAAGTATATGCTAATGGGAGTAGTCAACTGGAAGTCGTGATGAACACAACAATACTTTCATATTATATGCTAATTGGAGCACGAAGAAACGTAGGAGAATAGACCTATATACGAATGGTGGGAATATTCGTTTAGAAAATTGCAGAAGGTTCACCAGTCTCACCATGTATAACATGCACATCTTTTATTTTGCACCACTGATGTTCTTAAGGAGCAACCACTTTTTAATTTAAGGTTTACATGCTGTAAACACTAAAATTAAGGGCCAACCCCATTGAGTCGTCTTGCTTGATCTTTGCCAATTGTTTCCTTCCATGCATGTGGCTTCAGGTGATCGATTTGTTTTCTTCAAATCAGACGGAGATTGTAGGGATGGCAGTTTCTTTTTCTATCGCGCGGGGTATCGCATAGCCGGAAGGGATGAGTCTTGCTTGATCTTTGTCAATTATTTCCTTCCATGTAGGATTATTGTTTCCTTCCTTGCATGTGCCTCAGATGATCGATTTGTTTTCTTCAAAGCAGACGGAGATCGCAGGGATAGCAGTTTCTTTTTCTATCGCTCGGGGTATCGCATGGCCGAAAGGGAGGAGCGACCTAAAAAAAGTCGCACTAAAAAAAGTCTTACTTTTAGTCTTTTTAGTTGTAGGAGATAACGGAGGTTACCTCTCCAGATAGCACTTTTAAAATTGCTCCTACATATTTACCATCAAGAGAGAGCATTTGATACATTCTTGCCATTTTCGCTGACGTGGCACGTCAACTCGACCTGACAGTGTAGACCGGCCACGGGAAATGACATTTTTGTCCCTCATCTATTTCTTCTATCTCTATCCCTTCCTTGCTCGAGCTCCGGCCATGGCCGACGATGGGGTCCATGGCAGCGGCTGACAGGACATAGGGGAAGTTGGGGGCGAGGCAGCCGGGGCCACGGCCTGCAGATCCATGCCCGTGCTCGACGCCGGCGACAAACTTGGCGGCACCTGGAGCACGCGCAGGAGCTCGAGGCCGATGTGGTGCCCACCAGGGACGAGGTCGGCGAGATCGAGGCGGGGCCTCTCGCCTCCTCCGCGGTGGCCCGGTTGCCCCACAGGACCTGAGGATGGTTTGGGAGGAGGAGTTCCCGACGGCGGCCTCGAACTGGTCCGCTGTGGCGATGACAACATCACAGGCAAGCGCGGGGGGACCTCCCTCGTGGACCGCGTGGCGCGCACGACCGTTGGGGCACGCGAAGAGCTCCCTAGCGGTGGCATCGAAGTCGGGTGCGAAGGCCGTGAGGAATGCCACGACGGCGATGTGGGCGGCGGCGATGGGGGAGGCGGCGGCGGAGGGCGGGAGAGAGTAGCAGCGGGACACAGTCCCCTGGCCGCCACGAACTCGTTCATGGGCTTCTCGACGTTTGTCGAGCACCGTGGTGAAGACGGTGACCTGGTGCTCCCTCATCCGGGCGGCGAAGTTGGCGGCGGCGCCGGCGGCGGCGACGCCGGTCGATCCGGATCTTGCCGGGCGCCGGTGGTGGCGGCGCGGGACGTTGTCGATGAGGAACTCGTGGTTGTGGCGCGGCTTCACCTGGGCCGGTGGTATCGATGCCCATGTTGGAGGACGGAGCACGGCCTTGCGGGCCGCAGGAGAGGCGGCTCACAAGCCTTGGAGATGAGGCGGTGCGGCGGGGCGCGCGCGGGGGGGGGAAGAGGAACACCTCTCTGGGGGTAGGGTGGTGCCGCCGCCGCGCCACCCCGCCAGTCTTGGGGACGAGGCAGGTCGCGTCGATCTCCCGAGCGATGGCGGCCACCTGCACGGAGATGGCGGACGAGGAGGAGGTGGTGGAGAGGTTTGCAGTGGCAGCGGGGATGGGGTGCGCTGGGGGGAGAGGAAGGCGAGGAGCGCGAGGAGGTTGGTGGAGAGGATGGAGAGCAGCACGAGGAGGTTGAGCAGTGCGGGCGAGCAGAGGCACGCCAGGACGGGACGGGACGGGGGAGGGAGGGCGCGTGGAGGATAAAGACGCCAGGGGCAGGGGAGGTCTTTTTACACGAGCCTGCTGACTCGGATCCGAGCTGAACAGCGGAACTGCGCATGCCAAGCGAGCAAAAGTGGTAAATGTGTATCGTTTTTTCTCTCTCTGCTGCTAAAAGCGTAACGCCAACCCTAAAACTGCTATTTGAGGAAGTGCCATCCATTATGATGGTAAAAAGTTAATTATCCCGGCGAGTGGAGACCGGAGAGCTGGAGGCAATGGCTTAGACTGGGCCGTTGTGGACCTGTTGGGCTATTGGGCTGCTTCTTTTGCTTGCTGTGCGCTGACGCTGAGGTCTGTTCGGTGTTTCAACAAATGTGCTCGGTTTGTCGGGTGTTCGGTTCGGTTGCCTCTCGGAACTAAAGCCGAATCCGATAACCGAACTTCCTATGAATCAAAACCGAAGCCGAAATCAAAAACCGAAAAAACCGATATTTGGTTCGGTTTGGGTTCAGTTTTGGTTTAAAAGTGCCTAGAGCGAGAACGCTGCCGGCTGCAAACCTTGGCGAGTAAAAACTGGGACAATGTCAGCAGTACTGACGACTGCGGAGGTCAACGTCTCCAGGTGGCTGCGTTCGGAACTTTGGATCCATCCAAACTTTCATAGGCTGGTAGAAGCTAGGTTTATTCAGCTTTTGAGATTGTGGAAGCTGGCCTGTGGAGTCGGTGGATGTTTGGAGATCCCAGCTTCTACAAGCTAGATTGTCGAATTTGATAAGAGCCGCACGCTGCAGCACACCACGAGGCAATAAAAAGTGTCAATTCTGTTACACACACAACGTAGCATCCACAACCTGTCCACAGATGAAGCCTGAAATTCCACTCTACACGGTACAGCCGTGCAGGTGTTTCGTCTCAGCAGATGAAGGGGAGCCTGGCGTGCTCGTCGCTGCAGTAGAGCCCGGGCTGCTGCGTGTACCCCTGCTTGGACAGCAGCTCCCGCGCCCTGACCACCAGCCCTCGGTTCGTCACCGCTGCCCCGCGCTTCTTGCCGTTGCCGTTGCCGGCGAGGATGGTCTGGATCGCGTTGCTCAGCGCGCCGTAGGACATGCCGTCGGCCGTGGTCGCGTCCGCCGAGGTCTCGTCCGTCTGGCACCCGCTGATCAGGACGCCGTTCCGCGGCGGCACCCTGGCCGCCGCCGCCGGCCCCGCGTACACTTCCTCGACGCTGTGCGTGTCCTGCTCCTGCGCCAGGGCCTCCGCCGCCTCCGCCTCCCTGGGAGTGGGAACGTACGACTGCTCCGCTTCCTCCTTGCCGTCGTGCCGGAGCTTGGCCACCATGACCTTCATGAACCTCTTGACCTTGGGGCTCGCCTCGTCGCCGAAGTGGTGGAACAGCGTCGTGCGGATGGAGCCCACGCCGACGTCGTGCCTCCCGGTCTTGTCCTTGAGCATCTGGATGAACGTCGACAGCGGCAGCGACCGGTTGCTGATGCTGCCGCCCTTCGCCGCCTCCGTGTCGTCCGCCGGCTCCTGGACGCTGCTGCTGCTGCTGCCCTGGTGCTGGCCACGGCGATTGCAGTGGATGCCGGCCCCCAGAGACTCCAGCACGCCACGGACGATTCGCGCGAGGGAGTCGCAGAGTCCGGTCCCGGAGCCGGAACCGGGAGGAGGCTTCATTTCGCGCTCTCGGCGCTGCTGGGTCCTGTTCTGCTTGGTGCTGTTGCCGATCTGCTCCTTGGTCTTGTCGATCAGGCCGCTGCTGTGGCACGAGTCAGCGGGCCGTCTGCTGCTCCGTGAAATCTTGGTCTGCAGTGCAGCGTATATGCATGGAGATCAGGACGACGACCATGACAAGCGAGCTCAATTATCAGAAGAGAGGTGAATCAGGTCGTCGAATGAAACGATCATGGATTAGAGGATTACAGAGTTATTAGGCAGGTTTTGATTTATGAATTGGCAGATTCCAACGTGGCCAGCTTGTCGAACTCACCCAAAAGTGCTATGGGGATGCTGCCACAATTGATAGCATAGTACAGGCGTACAGCCTAAAAGATCACATTTAAAAATTTTTTGACGAAGCAATGACGAGGAGAAAAACGCAATTCGCATATTCCTCCATCCCATCAATAGCAGGTGTATTGTACTTAAAAATAATTTTTTTGACCAGCGTTACCCGTTTTGTTAGTATCTGTATAGTGTATAAGAACCGTACAGCTACAATGATGCCCCAAGGTCAAAGTCTTTTGAAAGCTGTACAGCTACAATGAGTATTTTCAAAATACTTTCAAACTACACTAATTTTGGAACTGGGAAATGGTAATACTTTTACGAAGAAAACAACAGTCAAAGTCTTGCTTTTGAGCCTTTGAAGACTGGACCAAAACAAAATACACTTTTTTTTAATTATAACGACAACTGTTGCTAAAAAAAATCCTCCAACGAATTTGCTTTCGGCTTCAGTTAGCAGTCTCCATTTCTTAAAAGTATTTAAAAAAACAAACACATCATTATGGCTCCACACACTAAACTACTAGCTTATCTCGTAGGTTTATCTTTGAATCGCTGAATCATGTCCTGGGCGCTTATCATTTTTTAACACGTACTATTTCATGAAGAGAATAAAGAGTTTTTGTTACACTAGAGCAGTAAGCCTATGCTTACCGTCTAGCGAACCCACAAAATTATCTACTTCCTCTATTTCAAATTCCATAAAATTATAGACTTCCTTTATTTCAAATTATAAATTATAAGATGTTCTGACTTCTTTTTAGATATATTGTTCTTATTATGCAGCATATATCTAAGTGGAAAAAAATAGGTATATAGAAAAGTTAAAACATCTTATAATTTGAAATGGAAGAAATGGAGTACTCGTTTATTACATGATCGATTTGCGAAGCTCATCTTATTCATACACTCAATCAGACCGAATTTTTTATTTTTTAGCCATTTTCTTGAAAAATATTCACATTTAGATCCTTGACGGTTTTAATTTCGTTTTTGACCCTGTGCTCGGCGCCGTGGATCACGGCGCCGAGGTAACATGTCTCGGCGCCGTGAGTCATGGCGCCGAGGTTGGATGCGCTGGTAGCCAAACTGCCTGATCAAGAGCTGATGTGGCACCAAGTTTGGTGCGTCGAGCTTGACACCGTGGATGTTAGCGTCGAGCTCTGGCAGCTGGCACTACTTTTTGGTCTTCGCACCCATCAACATCAACTGTGCTAGTACAGTGGTCTTAGATGGTTGCCTGACCTCCATCGGCCTTTCTGTAACACCCCAGGTGTTGTCACCAGTTAAGCAATGGGTTTGAGCTCAATCATGACATGTTAAGTGGTGATGAAGATGTCAAGGTCAAACCTATGGAAATGAGCCCCAACCTAAACTCGGATATTGCACCCTTGCTTTACATATAAGCCCTTTTCAAGATATATGCTTGGCTGGTGTTATTGGAATATCTTCATGTGTCTCACATCAATACCCATCTATATGGGTCGCTGAAAAAGTTTCATAAAGTTTGGAATCAAAAAGTCACATGAAATAATAAGTTATATCCTTATTGGAATGACTTTACTAAGTGCTTGAATTGCACTATTGAGTGAATGGTAATGTAGGTCATCAACCAAACCTTGCAACCTTGCCCAAATGACTCTAGATGAACTCTACAGCAAAAGTCATGAAAGGTTCGTGTTGAGCAGAGATCAAGAAAATGCATCAATCGATCTAAAACTCAGATTTAAGCTTTATCGTGATGCTACTTTGACTTGGTTTGAATTGTACTCTAGAAACTTTGCATGGAAGTTCACCCTTAAGTAAAGTTGTAGTACTTGACTAGATCAACAACTTTTATATTTGGGTTAAAGTCTAATTCGGTGCATAACATGCTCAAAATATAGTCCACAAGTAGCAAAAGAATTACTGATTTTGAGTGTGAAAATTTTTCTAAGTCTGATATCGCGTTACAGTTTCACGTGCTGCACTTTGGGTTGATATTACTCTCGAACCATTAAGATTTAGACAAAAACCCCAAAATAAAAGTTAGAGCTGGTATGTAGATATACAACTTTTATTAGTAGAGTTTTTACCAACTCATCGTGGTTTAGGAGTTAAAGAGGTACGAAATATGGGTTTCAGCTTGTACGTTTGCGGTAGTATTTGTTTCTTCAGTTTTTGAACGCCTTCAGCAAAGGCCGCGTCATGGCCGACCGTGCACCGGCGCACAACGTCGCGTGGCCCTCGGTGCGCCAGCTGCTCGCCACCTCGCCCCGCCATGGTAGTGAGCTGCTGCCGCGTTCCCTCGGCGTGTCCGCGCCCCTACCTTCGCGTGTCGTTTTGGGGAAGCTGAACCCGAGCACTCGCCCTGCCCTCTCCACTCTCTCCCTCTCTTCTCTGCCTCGCTCCTTGCCAGCACCATGGCCGAGTTGGCGAGACGCCGCTGCTGCTGGCGCTGCTCTCCCTCTCCTCCTCCCCATCTCCTTTCCCGAGTGCCCCCTCGCCGTCGTGGCCTCGCTGCGGAAGCCGCTGCCACCGGTGCCGCCTGCTCACGTGGCTAGCAAGCCACAGGCCACCCCAGGCCAAGCTGCGGTCGTCAGGAGGCGCGCCGGGAGCCGGGACAGCCGGATCCGGCAACGGTCGTCGCTTGGCCACCATCGTGCCCTCCCCTGCCATGCCGCTCCGCCGCCGAGCCGCGGGCTCTCGTGGCCGGGCCAACTCGGGCCGCCTCGGGCCGAGCCGAGCTGTCCCCTGGGTGCGCGCGGCCCTGCTGATGCTCCACCACCACTCCACCGCCGCCGACAAGCTTCCTCCGGCCGTCAGTGGCGAACTCCCGGTCTCCTCTGTTCTCAACTACGAGCAGGGACCAAGAGCAACAATTTGATCAATAGCAGGGGGTTAAGTGTGAAATCTGTGACTCAAATAAATAGTGCTGTTAAGGACCTTCTTGCAGGAAATTTGCTGAACTTTAGAAATTCATAGTAATTCATAGAAAAATCATAAAATAGCAAATGAGGACTTTTTGGAATCCTTGTGAAATTGTCTATGCAGTAGATCTATAATATGGCATGTTTTAGTTTAAATATTTAGCTGCAAAAATAGATTTGTGCAGTAAGGTTGTAATGCTAGTTGAATTTGTTATTTTCCATAACTGCAGATCTAGGGCTCCAAATGAAGTGAAGTTTTTGTGGCATGCTACTCATATGAAGTTTGATGTGTGGTAAAAATTTCATGGTCATTGGTTGGTGCATGAGTGAGTTATTGGTTTATCTTGCTCTCACATGATTTCTTGCTTTAGCAACTTGTCTTTTTCATAGAGGTTGCTATACATATTCAAATGGAGTGAAATTTGTATAGTACACTATTGAGAGGATATGTGAGCCACTGTAATTTTTGTATGATTTATGGTATACTTTTGGTATATGTTCATTAAGTCAACTTGTTATCTAAAATAAATTAAGAAATGCATTAAAAGAATTTATTTGGTCATGGACACTAGGTTTTCTGATGTTCTTTAGTCATGTGTGACATGTTGGTAAAGTTGGTTTTGCCTAATTATGTGTTTGCAACATAAGTTAATATTTATTTTCTTGCAAATGTGGTTTATGGATAGATCTGGGAACTTAGCAAAGTTCTTCATGATAATATGCTTTGTTGTGAAACTTGTTTATATAAAAGTTGTAGATAATTCATGTATCTAGCTTCTGTTAAAATTTGATGTCATTTGGCCAAGTAGTTTGTGAGTTATGCCTGTTTAAAGTTGGGTTTCAGAAATGGCTGCTCTCTGTCAATTGTGGACCAGTTTCTGTAAATATATAATTTCGACCTACTTAACTTGTGAATCATGCTATGATGGTTATAGATGAAATATAGATAATTTCATAAGCTTTCCAAAATGTCTTCTTGCAAGTCATTTGGATTTGTGTAACTCCAGTTATAGCTAAATCTTGTAGCTGCTGTTTGCATGTCCAGAAATTGACAGATTCCAATTATAGTGTTTGCTTGTATATTGTTAAGTGTGACTTATGCCTTGAATGATGACTGAGTTAGAGCACCTGAGATCTTAGGAAACTTGTGTCATGCTTGGTGTTGTCGTCTTCTTTGCCATCTTAGCATGATAGGTTGTGTGATGTTAGTTAAATAGCTATTGGTGTCTATGTCTTGCATAATCTTGTGTTTGTCTTGAATGCTTATGTGATGCATCTTGTGTTATCATTCATCACATTCATACACATGCATCTTGCATCTCATCTAGGTGCGCTAGATGTACCACGTGAAGGACGTGATGTTGGAGCCGAACCCGAAGACAGTGTATGGAGGATCTATCCCGAAGATGGAAGGACTAAGCAAGTGCTAGGACCTGAAATGTCACCAGGACGGTGCAAGCTAACTGAACTGACTTGTGTCGAATCCCAGGCAAGCCCCGGAGCATTCTAAGTCTCCCATATTTTTACAAATATCTTGAGTATCTTTTATTGTTGATGATGCATTAAGTATATGAATTGGTTGGAACCAATTGTTGCATTATATCCTTACCTTGTCTAGATAAAATCCTATGAATCCTAATTAAGTGTAGGATCGAATGATGCTTAGCTATGCTTAGACCGGTAGAAGTCGGGTGATTTCCTGTCACCTGCGAGATGTAGGATGAGCTCTGGTCACGGTTGGCTATATTTGCTATCATGAAA